AGAGAAGTATTCTTTATACGGATATAATGAATTACGGATATAGCGAAGTAATTTTATAGGTCCCACTAACTTCGCTATAACCGAGTTTTACTGTAATATTTATTTGCATTTATTTTAAACCATCGGACTTTGGCGTGTCAAACCATTGGGGTTTTGCGCAGACCATCAGACTATGGCGTGGCAATCGGACTTAAGAGTCCCATCGCACTTTGGAGTCCTACAAATACATTTAGATGATATATTAAGATCTCTATTGCTTCTTTTCTATTACATGTCAGTATATTTATATAACTCTGGATTCTACTCAATAAGAATATTGCATGAATGATTTAATGAGTCAGCTTGCTCGTGGCTAACTTACCTGCATGGACTTGTGCAACCACAGTTGATATACTTTTCAGCAATTTGAAGATAAACGAATCCCTGACATTGCACGGGATCTCTCATTCCTTTTTTCATTCCGTTATCAGGCTCAAAGAAGAGTCCTGATCCAACTCGTTTCAAGGTTATGTCTATTGAAATATGGTATTAAAAACTATATATAATATTATAGAAATCTATACTGTATAATCACATTCATATATTTTCGTAGGGTCGAATTTTTTCAGTTTGAGAAAAGTCGTGGTTGGAGAAGTGTTGAGCAGTAATGCATATGCAATTTTACATTTCATGATAGTCATGAATTCGTGGGTCCCTCCATATATCACGAAAACAATGAAAATTAAACCCCCGTGGAAATTAGTGATGTCGTCATAGATACAATCTGTAAAAAAGTACGGGAAAACCACAGGTAATTTATGAAAGACTATTAAGTTTTGGCTTAAAATTTTACAAATGTTTTTAAATGTTTTAATTTTTATAAAAGACTGCGCAACTGTCATTAGAAGGAAACAATTATAAAAATAAAAAAAAAATAGTAGATGGACCACTGTCGGAAGGTTTAACAGATATCTCTAAATTTGCTCTTGCATACCTCTTGACCTATGGTTTAAACAAGAGGAATATTTAATAAATTATTGAAAAAACTAAAATAACAAGAGGCCCATGGACCACATCGCTCACCTGAGAAGCTTTGACCATTCTGTTCTTTACCAGATTTCCCCCTTGTAATACATAATGCATCCCGACCCTACCCCACTGATCATAATTTAGACATTTTGAAATCTACACTACCCCATGATCCTTCCATGTGCACATAAGTTTCAGCTTTTCTGGCCCAGTGGTTCTAATGAGAAGAAGATTTTCAACGATTTTTTCTATATATTTCTATGTAAAACTTAGATTCCCTATTGTGGCCCCGCCCTTCCAGGGGTCATGATTTTTACAATTTAGAATATATACTACCCCAGCATGCTTCCACATAAGTTTCCGCTTTTCTGGCCCAGTGGTTCTTAAGAAGAAGATTTTCAAAGATTTTTCTTATATATTTCTATATAAAACTTTGATTCCCCAATGTGGCCCCGCCCTTCCCCCGGGGGTCATGATTTGAACAATTTAGAATCTACACTACCCTAGGATGCTTCCATATAAGTTTCAGCTTTTCTGGCCCAGTGGTTCTTGAGGAGAAAATTTTTTAATGGTCCCACCCTATTTTTGTCTTTTCTTGATTATCTCCCCTTGTAAGGAGACTTGGTCCTTCATTTTAACAATTTAAACTTATTAAACTCACTTTTACCCAAGGATGCTTTGCACAAAATTTGGTCAAAATTGGCCGAGTGGTTCTTGAGAAGAAGTCGAAAATGTGAAAAGTTTACAGACGGACGTACAGACGGACGGATGGACGGCTAGACAGACGGACGGACGGAATTAACGATTACTATATACCCTCCCGCTTTTCAAGCGGGGGTATAAAAACAGTCTATCCTTTCATAAACTACAATATTAATTTTGTTCTGCTTTTATCAACTCTTGAAGAGCGTCTTATAAACTGTTTCTCGCCTATTCATTCATTCTTTTTTCATCAACGGCTTGCCTATCATACGAAGTTAACTTTTGTGATGCATATTATTTCACCTTTGTTGGTAGACCAAAATATATTGCAGATTTTTTTTTGATTTTTTTTTTTGCCGAAGTAGAAAGTAATAAACTTCTGAGTTAGGTCGAATGAAAATCGGATAAAAAATAGTATCGTGTGACTACACCTTAAACGCAAATAAAGTTACTGCTAATAAGCTGACGCTTAGCGTTCACACAGAGACTTTAATGCGAATGTTTAATTCGAATTAGTTTACTGCGCATTAGATTACTTCGCATTAGCTCCGTGTGAACGCTAAGCGAAGCCAATTCGAATTGAAGTCTGACGCATGCGCAATGGCAAAATGTAGTCAAATGCCATTTTTCGGTTGTCAGCTATAGGTACTTGTACTATTTTTGAGTGCAAAAACGAAGGGAAATTTTGTTAATCATTCCATGTGTGTACAGACACTTTGCCACTATGTCAAATGGATCTGCTTCTGAATAAGGTGACATGATTTGCAAATGACGTCATAATAGTCGTGCTGACGCCTGACTGCAGAAGTATAATCATTCGCATTAGTTTACTTCGCAATAGCTTGCTTGTGAACGAAATATAATTCGCATTAGTTTGATTCGCATTACTTTACTTCGCATTAATGTATTGCGAATTAAACTCTCCGTGTGAACAGGGCAATAGCTGTTGCACTATCTAATCTGCCGATATTAAGTATTTATGCATTACTTGGAAGAGGAAGAATTCATGATACAGCAGTCAAACGTCGCACCTTATGGAACAGAGCAGAAGCCAAACGTAGCAATCACAGGTGCCAAAAGTCGTAGTGTGATTTTGTTTAAGGTTTTGTCAAAGGTCAACCTGTCTAAAACATTTTTTTTACAATAGCTCCAAAACTATGTGTGGTTTAAAGTCAAGACGTTTACAGTTTATAAATATATCATTGATTAATAGATGGAAAGTATCACTTGATAACAAATATTTTAAAACAGATATTATTTGAGAAAAATTGTATCAGAAAATGTGCATATTTAAAGAAAAATGCACCTGCTTAATTCTGTCCTTTTTGTGAAAACCAACATTGTAGAAATAATATATGTTTATCATTGAAGGGCAAGTTGGGCGTGAATGGTCTCTGAAAGGCTGTTATTGAAAGCATGACATGTATAAAACAAGACCCCTATAGAATCGGCCATTTGCAATGTACTTTCACTTTCAAGTCTTGACATTTGGACAAAATAAACAGGGAAAACAACTTTCCAGAGGCTATCCAAGTCCAACTTGCCCTTCATTGATAAACATATTTTGTTTCTGCAATGATGGTTTTCACTAAGAGCATGGAATTAACTATGTGTATTTTTTTGAAAATATATGCATTTTTAAGAAGAATTTTTCTCAATTAATATTATTCCAAGTATTTTTTTTTATAAAGTGATTCTTTCTATCTGTTAATCAATGAAAAATTTATAAACTGTAAAAGTTTCAGCTTTATACCTCACATAGTTTTGGGGCTATTGTAAAAATAAATTTTTGGACATGTTGACCTTTGACGAAACCTTAACGTGTACAAACTGCATGTATGAATTGATCCGGTAAAACATATTAATAGGGTGTATATTTAAGCAGTCACTGCATTGCTCCTAACATGTGTTCAACACTTCATAAGATATACTGAATTCTATTAATTATGTCTTAATCAGATCATTTCTGAAGGTATTGTTGATTTTCTGCCTCACTGATGTAAACCAATAGTAGCGAGTGTCCGAAACCAAGATTTTCTCGATTCGCAGATTACAAGCAGTGAAAACTGGTGTGAGTCCTAGCACCCCTACTAATGTTATTGTGATTTAAATTCAAGACACGTGGATTAGGTTAGAACCGGTTTTATAAATAAAATTGGCAGTAAACATGATATTGCTATAGCCTGTTTCTTTTGAAAATATGTCCTGTAATAAATGTTTCCAGACCTTTCTGAAAGACTTTTATGATTTTCAACAGAAAAAGGGTGGCTAAAGGAGGGGGTGTTAAATAACAGTATATTTTATACTTTTCGGCAAAAATTAGAGCTCACTAGTGACCGATTCGCTGGTAAAAAAATGTGCATTATCATCTACACTGACAAACCTGTGTTTGCCTTATATGGCTATTGTTATAAATGCGCACAGAGGATCTTACCACGAGCAACTGACCAATCGTTGAATATTTAGCAACGTTTACGCCAAATACATGTTTACATTTTACTTCGGACACGTAGTTCAGGTCAATCTACGATCATGTTAATGGACTGCAAAATAAAAAAAAATGCTCTTACAAACAAAATACAAAGATAAGAAACCATGAAAGATGTTACGGGTGTTTTTAATTTGTTGTTAAATTGAAAAAAAATGTTTAATAATATGTAGATTGTGTCTAGTTCAGAACACCAGCGCTTCAAGGGTAAGGGAAATGAGCAGCATCTCTTATGCATTGAAATGGACAAAACTTTGTTTACGTTCGTGATCACGTGTTTGGCCAGGGAATTTACCTGGCAATTTTATTCACCGGTAGTACAACATATAACTCTCAGAAACCTAGACTTCCGCCGTTTATTTAACAAATGAATTGTTTGTCATTATGAGCATGAAAATAATATTTTAAAAATGCTTTTCATTTACCGTAAGATTTTTCCTTTTTTCAAGCGTAAAATTCCGGTAGTATTCGTAGTAACCCACAATGCAATACTCATTCAGCTGATTGGTCAGTTAAAATCATGCTGGTGCCTCATTTGCTAATCTGACGCCAAAAAATATAGTCCAAGTTCCCATGCAAAAATATTTGTCCAAAAAGAAATTTTAATTCATGACTGCAGAAAATTGTATTATAAAGAAAAATAAGCACGTCCTAAATTAGAATGCATCTAGTCAATACATGTACAGGAAGTTTAGTTTACATATTATTAAATCATCTCATAAAAAAAATTTCAGCTCCAGACTCAAGTTAAAATGCCCGAATTGGAAGCAAAGATTTAAGAATTATTTTGTGTCAGCCATGATTTGACGTGAACCTCTAGTGAAATACTGTTATGACCCCTGCATATGCATAAAGCATACATATACATGGATATATTAAACATTTTCACTTTTTTCCCTAGCAACTGTGAATATGTTCTTCATTACGGTGGTCTCCTTGGTCGGTTTTACGATAATACATGTACTCGGATCTTTGTTTACTTCGATTTTTCCTTTACGACATTTGTGACGATGATAATTAAAAAGTTCCACCAACAGTTGTACCAATTCAAGAAAACTCAGAAGAGAGGCACCCAAGAAAAGTCCCATGGCTCCTCCTAAATCCGACAAAAATCTGAAACCCTAAAAAAATGGAGCATTGACTTGAAAATGATAAAAAGTATAATTACTTTAAAAATAATATTTATGAATTGATTGCCAAGAAATACAAAAACTTCCATTTCAAGATAAAAAATACTCTGATTTACCTCAATAATAAAATCACCAAACTATTTCATTAAAAATTAAAAGTCCTTCGATTTCCTACCAACTATCTTAGCAACAATTTAGAATTATTTACTAAAGATATAAAACTATAATTATAAATGATAAATTTTCCCGTAGGTGATGACGAATTAGCTTTGATGTAGATGTTGAAGGAAAACTCACATCATATGACGGTTCTTCTGAAATCTCCTCATAGTTCATATCCTCGTAATATACCACCAACTTTAAGAAGTTGTCTTTAAAACTGTAATGATAATCATATAAAATCATATGACGCCCTAATCTTAAAATGCACTGATAATTTTAGCGCTTTATAAATTGATTAATTGCCTTACAATTAGAAAAAAAATTAATGTTTAAAAACGTTATTTATCAACATACTAGTATTAAAATTATCTTATATGAAATTGGTTCTTTCTATTCGTGATAAAAACACAATTCTAATTTAATTTACTGTGTAAGTTGTTATCAACCTCTGAAATTGGCGGTCAGTAGTTCATACTTGATCTTGAACTATTACAATAATTTGATACTTTGCACCATCCCCACCATCCCCACCAACCCCACCCAATCCTATCAAGAATGGTAAAAAAGTCCCCTGTTCCACTTAAGGTATTTCATTAAACAAATTTAAAACATCAAAAAGGTTAGGGTTAGGGTTAGAGTTATGAGATTTTGAAGAGTACAATGAGTTCATGGCGGAGTTGAACACTTTCTGTTTCAATCATTTTCTGTTAAAGTGTTGGACGTTTCTTATTGCCAATGCTCTAGTTCATTGGCAAGCTTAGAACTTCTCGTCAAGATAAGGAAAAAGTCTTGCCATTAGTTTTACATCGATTGAAGGTAAATTAGAGGGAAAGAGAGTGAGTGAGAAACTTACTATGCAGAATTTTTCCCACTCCTATACATGTCACAGTATGAGTAATTGAATTGTTCACAACGTGTATTCAACAATTCTTTTTCCTGTAAAGATATAAAAATATCTTATTACAATAACATTGATTGTAACGTAATAAGTACATACCATAAACCAAATGCGAAACATTGGGTACTGTAGATAAGCTTTTAAATATGATTCTATCAATTCTGTTAACCCATATAGGAAAGTGATCAAGTTTTGAACGAGAGAAGGGGAATATCAATTTCAATGTATAAAATAATAAGCTTTTTCTTGCATAATGCACCTATATTTTATATGTAGTTGAAGATTTGCTTTACTAATTTTCTCATATATTATCTTTATACCGTCAGTTTACAGTTATACATGGCATTTAAAGGTGCATCTGGATAAGTCTTAATATTTTCATGAATACACAACAGAATTTCTTAAGTATTAGGAATAAAATTTAAATTTGTGAAAGTGCAAGGGTGTGCCAATCAAACTCATCCAAAAACTTGAATTTTCAATAACTTTTAGATGAAATAATTTTCGGGAGAAATGCTATTGCAATATACAAGTCGTGATATTATACAGAAAATATTAACTTCAAATCTTTGTTTATGCACCTTTATCTATGATTAAAGAAGTAAAACAGGCTTTGAGTGACTTTTTCTGTTTTCTACAAAAAGTCAATGTAAAATCATGCATGTGCTGTGTTCGATACGATTGATCAAATTTCTTTCGTGAAATTAGGGAATTCCGTGTTTTACATGTAAAGAAGTATCATGCAATTTTTGATGTACCAAAAAGCAAATAAACGAGTAATAACTAGAGGTACTGTGAGAAATTAGCTCACTAAATGATATCCCCGCATCCGATATGACTAAAGAGCCAAATTCATGTTTTGCTTTTGGAGATCGAAATAAGTGTCAGATTCAAAAGTAAATAAGGAGATGACAATGACATTTTGTAATAAAGAATTGTAAATTAACCATTATATTTTAATAAGTGGTTTAGGAGGAGTTTCGAATAAGAAATGGGTACCATTCATATGCAGATGAACATGCATAAGATATGGAGATTGAGTTTCCGGATATGAATAACAGTGCCTACATTAATTAATAGATTGAACTAGTTTTCAAGAAAAACGGCTTTAGTAAATATTGTTTTTTAAATTTCATTTTGATAGAACATCGACATTGTAACATACCATGACAAAGATCCACGATATCATCATTTTGCATTCTCTTTTTTTTCGAAATTCTAAATCAGGCATTTCTGATACTTGTGGCATTTGTATTTGATGCTACCATATTTTCATCCTTGCAAGCCAGGATCCTGAGTCAACACACTGCAGTTTGACCAAGGGCAACGTATTGACTTAGGACCTCTGGCTTGCGAGGATGTCTTATCTTATATACACGAATTGATTTACTTCGTTTGGTCATACTGAAAAGTTAATAAATACTGAAAATTAAATAGATATACGTACAATGCACCATGCATGGTACATGTATTTTTTAAAGGCTAAAATGAAACAGTTTGCGGACGATTTGATGCCTTGCATTAATTAAAATTTTAAATTTTGGATCACTCTAAAAGGGATGATTTTTCAATAGGGTCAATTTTTATAGGACACACATAGAATAATGAGCCCATGTGCTCTTTTTCTACAAAAATGATTGTTTTCTACGCGTGGAAGGGGGGAAGGGTCATTTTCAGTCGTTGAAAAATGACCCCCGGTCATTATTCGATGGGAGTCATTATTCGTCTTTTCACCGGATGAACGTACAGGAAAGCGGACGGATGGAGATCCAAGTTACTATATTCCCTCCCACTTTTCAAGCGGGGCTATAATTATGTTTATCAAAGTGTGGTATTTAGTTGACTTGTTCAAGCAAACTGACTAGTTGTTATAGGAATGATAGTGGTATATGAGGTGAGCTTTAGCCACTTTTAACTTCGACTCATCTGTATTTAGAATTATTCGTTTTTTTTTCTTTTCTAATTGCAGGATATATTAGAGATTTGAAGGGTTTTATTTTCAAATACTTAATTGTAAAATTAAATTTGATAAATACTTACAAGAAAGGAGTCTTTGGGCCACATTCGACCAGAGATAGTGGATTGATAGAGTGTTTGCCTGCAAAATTTTTTGAATACAAAATATGCATCTTACTTTGAATATGTCAAGGATATGATATGTACACATTTCAGATGTATTATTCTAGGTTTTGACGAAAAAACTTTAATGCTTATATTTGTGTCCTAATTAAAGCCCTGCTCATTTAGCACATACATACCTGCAGGGACTTGCACATTCACAGTCAATATAATGTTCATCAATTCGGAAATAAATGAATTCCTCACACTGCTTGGCATTACTATATTCACCCTTCACAGTTTTGTTGTTTACTGTACCATTTGAGGTTACTTGTATATCTATATAAAACAAAAACGTTTAGAAACGAAACGATTGATGATACTTAACGAATATGAACGTTTTCAAAACTTTGTTTTTAATCTTTCTTGAATTCTTTCGTAGATTAAAAAGAAATATTAATTCTGTAAAAATAAATTGATAAAAGAAACATTTCTATTTCAAGGATTTTAAATGATAAGAGTCATTTTTCCCCTCAAATCGACATTTTAGAATGTGATTCTGATATGTATAATTGTATCTTATTTTGCAGAAAAAATTACATTATTCCAACACATTTTACACATTAACATATACTAACAGGCTGTAAGTGGCGTCAGAAATGATGATATTTTTTCCATACAACCTATATTATACATAGAGTTCCTTTTCTCTAATGTTTTTTTTCAGATTTGACCAAGTCTGTGCAATGTTTTCTGGAGAAGAAAAACTGCTTGAAAATAGGTTTTATTTGAAATAAGTTAAAATGGCGGTAAAAGTTTACTTTTATGATGTCATATTTCTAAATAAATAGCATATTAATTAAATGAAAACTACGATTAAGTCACATGACTTGTATAGATATGCAAAATAAAGCTAAATATAATGTAAAATTAAGATAATTATTCAAGCGTGTCGTTTGAGACACTTATTATATATAGCTCTTTATTTTTTAAAACTATGGGATATGTCTTATTCTATAAGCAGTTTTCAATATACTTATATGCATTTTCTTAGAGAGTTGTGTATTTATGCATTTATTTTTTATACGTCATCATATAAAATGAAGAAATCGGTGAAAAATCGGTGTCATGTACAAGTGTCCATACTGAACGAACTCAAAACTGGCTAGTTACAAATTAAGTGTAAAGGATGTGGCTAAATTATTAAATGTGTAGAAAAAAAGTGAAAGCGGTTACTCTGTAGACGAGGGCAATATCAAAACTGAAATAAAAACCATCAACCGAGATCTGGCTGACCGTTAAAGATAGTAGGCGTTGTGAAGAGAAATTGGCAGAACAAATCATACAAAAGAGGAAAATCAACCGTCAAATGCAGCAAGGTCAAAACCAGCACCTATGAATTCGAAAATATTTCATCAAAGAAAATTATGTTAATACCATCTACATATACTAGTATTTATAACCATTTTCAAGCATCGTACCAAAACATATCTTATTTCTCAGAGAAGATAATAAAAAAAAACAAAGATTCTAAACTGACTAACTTCTGTTTTAAGTCGAGATTTGAATTCCGTATTTAACTAGAGAATAAAGCTGCCCTTTTCCTGAAATCTTTTCAAGTATGTTATCAATAGAAGTGGATGAGAAATTTTTTGAAGCTGAATGAAGAAAAGGTAAACCATATATATTATGTCTGCTTTTATATTGCATAATACACACTAGAGCTTAAGGAGGCTGGGGGTACCGCTTATTTTTTACAAACAATACGTACTAGAGGAACAAACAGGAGTCGTGTTGAATTTGTCCATGAATTTGATGTCCATATGTTCGGATGGTCGACAATTGCAGATTTCGACAACTTTCCTATTTCTGCAGATTTGTAGACACGCCTATAAAAGATGCAAATGGTGTCTTACTTTGACATATAATCTGGAAAAATGGAAGTACACTTACGTAAAGTTTATATACTATTGACCAAGAAAAATGTATATTAACATTAAGATGTTTTCTTCTGATATACATGGAACTGATTGATTGTATATTGATGTTATGTCGTGTTCGGAAATTTTGCATTTTAACATTGACATCGTTATAAACACTGTACAATTATATGTACAAGCGAAGGGTTTCAAATGAAGTCGTCGCCCGCGTGGGGCAGTGGTTAGAGCGTCTGCTCTAGAGTTGCGAAGTAAGGAGTCAATCCTTACGTCGCGGGTTCGAATCCCACTGTGGGACGTGGAGACCGGTCCTTCGGATGAGACCGTATAAACCGAGAACCCGTGTCGCAGTAGGTGCTGGCACGAAAAAGATCCCTCACTGCTCAAAGGCCCTGAGCGCCGAGCATAGGACAAAATTTGTACCCCTCCAACGGCAAGTGGTGGCGTCTCCATATGAGTGAAAAATTCTCGAGAGGGACGTTAAACAGCATACAATCAATCAATCAATCAAATGAAGTCCAATGATCTGCAATCAAAACCCTTAAGCATTGAGGGTTCTTTATTGTGACAACCATCTACCATCACATGGAACCTGCCTTTTTAAGGGTTTCACTCGATAAACCCGTGACTTTCACTTCTAATACAAGGTGTTGTGCAAAGGAACAGTCACTTTATGACATATGACTACAAGTACCTATGATAAGTCTGAGCCCAGAATCTGATCTTGTAAGAAGGAAAACACATTTTTGCAACTAAATATAGGTTCTAAAAACGACAATAATTTAATTATACATGTATGTTTTATCAGTTTACTTTCATTGGAGTCTTTCCAGATTTTACAATTAACGAACATCAATCTAGAGTGGGAAAAGATCAGTTTTTTCTCTGTATACGGCTTGGATTTGATAGAAACTGGAAGAAATCTCAAGACAAAAAAAATCCTACAAACTGCTAATTAAAATTATGCAGAAGAATCATTGTTAAAGTTATATATTGACGGTCAGGCAATTGTTTGTAACTTTTACTACTGCAATGATATCTTTTTGTTGTTACATTCACATACCTGCATAGTATAGCGGAACCCATACGTCTTATAGAAGATATCTCCTGAATCACACATACCATATGGTTCCTCTGCACGCACCACACGTACCTGATAAACATGAGGATTTTCTAATGCAAAGATAGTTGTGAAAACATTATTTCTGGATCGCAAAAGTCCTTGCAGAATTCATAATCCTGAGAATAATGTGATGATATAACGGTATAGCGGAAGTTATATATGACCTTGCTATTATCAGAAAGAGCAAGAAATATCCGACTATAATGTGTGAAATGTATAGAAATATGATTTTATCAAATATACTTGATTCTATGTTTTTGACGTTACATTGCCGTTACGTGTGCTACGTGGTCACAAAACATGTTGATTATGAAATGAAGTAAATTGAATTCTGTTAAATCGAATAGAAACTTTAACGCATTAACAAAATAAATATTTTTATATATTATATTGTGCTTATTTTTAACATCACTATACATGCTCATTTCCAGTTCTTTCTTAATAAGAAGTTAATATTATTAACCTCCATTAAATTAATGATATTTTATCAAACCATCCTAAGAACTTTCAAAAGTCCCACCGCTATTCATTTTTTAAACATTCTTACTCAACGTACTAACCATTTTCATCCCAATGGTTGTTTCATGCCCAGAACTGATTGTGTAACCCTCATCCTGTGGAAAAGGGAAGGTTTCTGGTTCATGAATTACGAGTCGAAAACCGGAACCATCAATTAAATTTCTTAACAACTCGAATTTCTCAACTTGTAAAATCAATTGCAGGCCTAGAAAAGAAATCTATATGGAATTTAAAATGGCAAAAAAAAAAATAATAAAACAATAAATAAAACAATAACGTCATTTTAAATTCTAAAATTTCTGCATAAAATTATGCTAGAAACTCAAAATCAATTTGGTATTATGTCCTTAGAGTAGGATTCTTTTCACATTTGTTGTATTTAAAAAATAATGAAATTTTCAACGAATCAAGAGGATTATATTACTAAATGATGGAATCACTGAGATTAAATTTGACCGTTAAATATTAGAGGCAAGGTCTGGTCAAGGATATTACCTTTCCCTGGATATTAAGAATAAAATAATTACTGTTTCCAATCATGGGATATCTACTTGTATTTCAAAAGAACTGAATGGTTTCTTTTTGCATAAAAAGATACTACTATATAGGGCCTATAAGATGATAATAACAAGTTGACATAGATAATTTAACTAAAATGAATATTTGCTTAATCGAATTTTCTGTACTTTTCTTAATTTTTTATGATATATCAGTTATTTTTATATGCTTCCTATATTTGAATTTTTTCTCATTTTCATATCTGGTTAAGTTTTCACATAAAGATACAAAATGATACAAAAACAAAGAGTTTTGATCGTTAACTAAGAGAGAAATAACACTTTTTACAGATGTTCAGCTCAAATCTGTACTTAGAATGGAAGCATTTAAAAGCCAGTATAGTTCTAGTTTGTTTGAAAAATCTTATTTATTTTATATATTTTGAAACTTTATTCCCTTATTATTAATTTCACTTATATTCAGAAATTTCACCAAGTCTTTAATTGCGTAAAAATGATAATTAATTTCAATATTCTTTAACAATTTTGACAAGTAGAAAAGAAGATATTTTCATACGCCATCATTCCGCCAAAAATATAGTCCCTCCTAGTTTCCCAAATGCAATTTACCATTTCTATCTAAAGTTGTACAATTCTGACGAGGAAATGATATTTTATGCTAGTAAAATTGTTTTAAGTTAAGTTTCATGTATTTTATGTTAAATTATAATTCCCCACTTTGTGCCTCATTATCTGTAAACCCGTGGGGACCCCCCGGTAACTTTATCCTTTTGAGATAAGAGAACTAGCATCAATATATCTACTGCTATTGTAAAGACAAGACGGCCAAACATTTGCTGAAATATTTTTTGGATTACCCACCTCCATCCCCAAACAGACTTTAACTGTACTTTAGGCCACCTCAAACTCATATGTGTATGTTTTTCATTGTAAATAATTTCTTTTAATATGTATATTATATTGTTAGTCATATCCTATTTAGGCCAAATCATAGAATTTGAGCCAATTCATATGTCTAAGGCCATATTTTTGAGGCCACCTATTTTGCCAAATTATATATGTTATGTAATAGTCTTATACTGGGAGACCAATTGTTATTGCATAATTGTATTATAAATTTTCTCAGGAATTGTGTTTTAAGATTACATTGTCTCCCAGTCTTTTTCATTCAGTTTTATGTATTATATTATATGTTGTCATTTCATAATAAATGACATATTTTTGGAACAAACATGTCTTTTGTTATTTGGCAAAAAACAAGCTCAATGTTGTCAGATGAGTGTTTAATTCAAGGAATGAAGGCTGAACTTAAAGAAAAATATGGTCTTTTAAATCTCTTACACTTAAATATAAAATACATAGAAGCTAATGTACTTTGAATATTTCATACAGTCAGAAACCAAAGAAGAACCCTACCTTAAATTCATTCAGTTTCAGAGGTCGATTTAATATTTTACAAGGTAATGTTTAGAATCTTGTCATGTTTATTGGTCACTTACCATTCATAGGACCCGTTTTTCTCGTTATGAACATATCACTCGATAGAGTATAACAGTTTCCATATTCCGTAGTTTGAAACAGTGTAAAGTTACTGAGAAATTGAAAAGAGATCAAATATCATTGACAATTTAATACTTATATTATGGAAAGCCGTAGGGTACCCCCACATTATTATTATTTTTTCCTATATATCTATACCAAAAATAATTATGTCATCGAAACTTGCTTTTTACAACATTATTATTATTTTCCTGCAACAATTATAATCTTCTCTG